CCGCAGCGTGAAAGGAAACCCCTGTTGGTGTGGGGACAGTTCCACTCTCTATTTCCTGTCCTAAGATGCTTCTGGAGACACCCGGAGGAGCCTTTGTGCAGAAGGAATGGTGCCTTTAGGCAGCAAAGGATTCAGAGCAGCTGCGAAGCCCGTTCCAGCCAGCTAAGCCCGAGAGGTTTCTCCTGGACCATTTGCTCTGGAATCTGGCTCCCCTGAAGCCTTGAGCCAGAACACAGAGACTGGGGAGGGGTTTCTTTCTCCGGAGCACTGTCTTTCCTTCCAGAACATCCTTTCCAAACGGCCCTCCCACCTGCAGCAGGAAGCCCGCCTGTGGGGTCCAGGTGCCCCGCCTGGGCCAGCCTGCCTCCCAGGACTCTTCCCTCCCGCCAGCCCGGGCTGGCGGCCACACTCTGGTGTTAATCCCGAGCGCCCTCCAAGCGCCCCCAGGTTAACTGCCAGACAAACAGCTGCCTAGTAATGAGGTGTCCTTCCTCCCCTTCCCAGTAGGAAGGAGACTGGGACGGAGTTTGCACCTCAAGGCGCAAAGGCAGCGGCCCATCTGGTCTTTCTTCCTCCCCCTCCCCCTCCCGCACTAAACCCTTTTGGGCAGGAGATGGCCAGCTGGGCAGAGGCCTCTGGAGACCCCTCCCCGCTAGACTCAGCACAGAACCGGCCCCCATTCAAGGGCTGACAGGGGCCATCTGGGCCCTGGGCTCTGGGAATTGGGCAGGCAGTGCCCCCAGCATTCAGGGGCCTCCAAGCTGCGAGGAAATTCTGCCAAGCCCCCGGCTCCTCCTCCCCGCAAATCCCCTAACACCGAACATAATCAGCAATTCTCTGCCTTCCCCAACCTGCCTGAACCAGAGAGCCAGTGCCAAGCCAGTCTGGCTTCCTGCATCCCACGCTGGGGGAACGCAGCCGCACTGGGGCAGGAAAGGAGGTTTGGCTTCTGATTCTGCAGCTCCCAGGGGTATCCAGGCAATTCTGGCTGTGGACATGGGAGAGAAGAGAAGAAGGGCGAGGAACAGAAACCACGGCTGGGCCTCCACATCCCAACCTGGACGGAAGGGGCGTCAGCCCGTAGCGAGAGTGCAGAGCAACGGGGAACCCTGGAGTTTCACTCATACGGCAGCTTCACCTGCCACAACGTTCTAGGGGAAGAACATCACATGGCTCCTTTAGTCCAAGCCGTTTATTTTGTTTATTTTGGGGGAGGGGGAACTAATTTATTTATTTCTTTTTAATGAAGGTAGTGGAAATTGAACCCAGGACCTCGTGCATGCTAGGTACACACTCTACCCTCCCCGCAACCAAGCCTTTTATTTTAAAGGTGAGAAAACTGAAGGTCGGCGATGAGGATGACACAGTCCCAGCGCACGGCAGATCCAGGACAAGAAGCCGTCTCTCCTGACCCCGGAGCCCCTGCTCCCCTCCCTCGCCTTGTGTCCACGTTCCTCGCCAAACTCCCTCAGCCTGAGTTGACTCCCCCTGTCATTTCATGCATCAGTTTCCCTACGTGTCTGCTGGAAAGGAGGGAAGGGCAGCTAAGAAGACGAGAGACCAAGATGCGTGTGCGAGATGGTCCAGAGATGGCTGTTCAAGTGCTCCCCATCGTGGGCAGGGGGAGCACCCCTAAAGATCCTCTCTCCCTCCTTTGCAACAAGTGAAGTCAGAGGCCTCGGGGTGTGTAAGGCAGCGAGTTGTTCGTAGGAGGGACCCACAAGCAGAGCGCTGGGCTCCAACCTCAGTTCTGACGTTCGCCCGCTCTGCAGCCTGGGTGGGTGTCTTTGCCCCTTTGATCTCCTGATTCCATCTGTAAAATACACACACACTGAAAAACCACTTTCAGCATCACTGTGACGAGTGTCAGAGGATGCTGTTTTTCAAATACCGCCCTGATCGCCGGGGGTTGAATCTGGCCTTCATATTATGTTGATAATTGGAGGGTAGTTAAGGCTTCTCTATTAGCCAATAGACCCAGACTTCTGACCTACCCCAGACTCTGAGGAAAACCTGCAGAGGGGTGTAAATGATGCATATTCCTGTTCCATCCTCAGGGGACAAGGTCGCTTCCCCAGCTCTCTTCACGAATAAGTATATGTCCATCCTTGCCGTGGTGCCGACCTCCCCCTGAAATGATCTCCCGTCTACCTGTTCAGCTGTATCCAACCACAGTCCCCGAGTCTGCCGTGAAGACCTCTCCCAGAACGCCCTTACCGTCATCGCTAGTCACCTCTAAACTCTCACTGTGAGTCAGCACCTCATTTCATGTCATCTTGCCTTTTAATAAGACAGCAAGTTCCTGGAGGGCAGAAATCATACCTGGTTTACTTTTTTCTTTCTATTTTTTTAATCGAAGCAGAGTCAGTTACAAAGTGTCAATTTCTGGTGTGCAGCATGACGTTTCAGTCACGCGTGTACGTGCATGTGTTCCTCCTCATCCATCTACTCCTTCATGGTAGCCTAGTGCAGAGCCAAGTAGAAGCACGAACTGGGGAGTCTTACTTTGCATAAGACCACTTTTCTGCACGCTCCCGCACCCTGACTCTCCCCTTGAAGGCAAAGTGAACCTATAGCTCCAAGGAGACGGTCCCCGGGAGAACACATCCACTTGCTTGAAGAGCTGAGGCTCTCCCCGTTCATTCAATTATCTTTTTTATTCATAAGAAGGGCAGAGTCTCTCTACCCTCCAAGCACAGGTCATTCTGGGGGGATTCTGGCCAGAGATGGGCACAGTCCTGGTCCACCAGACCTTGAGTCATTTCTACCAGTCCTAAGTGCTGGATGCTTTTTGTGTCTTAATAATTCCGAGAGCCTCACCTGTGTTTACACATATAAACCCTGTAACTGTCTTTCGAAGTAAGGCTATTCTTATGCTCACTTTGTAGCTAATGAAACTGAGGCATATTAGGTTGCTCCACAAAGTCCCACTAAGCTACAGAGTCAGATTGAAGCCAGGCCGTCTGGCTCGGAGCCCGTGCACTTACCCATTCCACTCACTGTACTGCTTCCCAGGTCGGGGTCACAGGGTGCTCCAGGGTAGGGGGGACGCAGGGAAGGGCATGACGTCATGAAAAGATGGCAGAGCCCTGGGGGAGGTGGGGCAGAGACTGAAGAGCGCCAGCCTCTCACTCAGAGCCCTCCTTCCCGCCCCGGGAGCCCTCGCCTTACAAGGACATCCCGAGGCCCTCCTGTGAGCTGTCACTTGGAGTCGGCTGATACAGGACTCCTGAGAGGCAGCCTGGGGTTCCTGCCTGCCTGAGATTAGCCAGGCCCCCCAGACAGAAAGCCCTGATGGCTCCAAAACCCGCCCTTTACATTTCTATGCAGCTCCACCCGCTCTGATCCTGTAAAATCCCCAAAGACCCCACTGTGTCACCTCCCCCTTCAAGTCACCTAGCGACAACCACAGAGCCCGTTTCTCCTGCCCTGCGGGTGAGCAGTACCAAAGCAAAGGGAGAAGTTCGGTGAGGAGGTGGGAGAGAATCAAAAGATGCTGGGAAAGTGGATCCTCACGGCATTAGTTGCTGAGAAACTGGGGTTGTAGGCAAGGGGCCTGCCACCCCTTAGGCAGCTGGGGACCCAAGGCCCTTAAAGAGGAGAAGGAGAGGAACCCCCCAGAGCTGTGTCTAAAGTAACGCTCGGTGCGGTTATAACCATGCCCGAATGCGGAGTGAGGGCCACCGCCATCAGCTATGGCTGAGCTAATGGTGGGGCCTGAAATGGACCGGATACAGGAACTGCAGGACCCCAGGCACAGGGAGACAGCTGACATCACCCAAGTAGATCTTCAGAGTGACAGCTCCTGAGGAAAGCTTCACCGGTGGTTGGTTCTGTCGACGCCTGTGGAAAATCAGCACCCAGCTCTTGCTGTCGAAGACAAGTGTGAGTCCAAGGACAGCAGAAGGCAGGCCAGCGCCTGATGGTTGGAGACCTGCTGACAGCGGAAAAGGGGAAAAGAAGTGGGGCTTTCTGAGGAAAACCTCACACGGCGATAGGAATCACCGAAATGCAGGGGGGGGTGTCCTCTCATTTCCCCATGGCCATGAGGGTCTAGCCCCACCAGTCCTTCTCTAACTTTCTCCCAGACCACCCCACGCTGGCTCATTTTGCTTCAGCCACACTGGCCTCTTCGTTATTCCTTGAACAGCCCAAACCGCTCCTGCCTCAGGGCCTTTGCACTTGCTGTGCCCACAGTCTAGAAGAGTCTTCCCCCAGATATCCACATCAGTTACTCTCTTCCTCTTGTCTCCTGCTCAGTGTCACCTCATCAGAGAGATGACCTGACTGCCACACACAGAAGTCACCTGCCCTTCACAGTGACGCTCCAGTGTACCCTTAGCATGATCTCATTTTCTCCAGACACTCAGCATCCCCTAATGTGTATATGTCTGTGTCTGTGTCTGTGTCTGTGTCTGTGTGTGTGTGATCTCTCCGCTAGAACACAAGCCCACGAGAACAGATCTGTTCTGTCTGTTGCTGTCCCTCTGTGACGGAAACGGTATCTGCCTCCTAGGAGGCACTCCAAATACTTACACAATCAAATCCAATTTTCCTCTTCTAGTCGCTGAATAATTTCCTTCTGAACCAGGCCCAGGGGTTTCCTTTCTTGTTGCTGATGTTCTTTGTTTATTTGTTTGTTTGTTTTCTGAACCTGTTAGTAAAACGTGCTCTTTTCCAAAGCCGCTGAGCGATCGAGGCCCTTGGAAACAAGGCTTCCCCCATCCCCGTTGCCCCCAGTATGAACCCTCTGCCCCCCCAGTTATGCATCCTGAACACTCTTCTGACTCATTTTTGCCTGTGGGCTTCCCTCCCCACCCTGGCTGGGTGCTGCCTTCCCCACCAAATATGGATTCCCTTCTGTTTGCCTAAATCTTCCTCACACTTTCATATACACTCTACCCTTTTTTCCCCTCTATCCGTTCACTGATGTCTCCATCTTCTGAGTCCTTGTGTCTCTTCTAATTGCTTTTCACCAACAGTTTAAAATGTACTAGTATCCTCTCCCTAATTAGTAGTTCTTTGGAGACAGACAACATGCCTTCCACATCCTTTGCCTTCTTCTGGAACAAGCACCGTGCAGGAAGACAGTGCTTCTGTGCTGATGGATTTGTCAAAAAAAATCAATAGAATTACAGGGCATCGCGGAACAGGGTTTCTCTTTCTTGCTGATTGGCTCCTGCTGCCTCCACTTGGGTGTCTCTTACATCGCCGAGCGAGACAGTGAAAAGCACAGGAAAGGGAACGTCTACGGCAGAGATCCCTGAGCATGTGGTCCCTTGGTCAATAAGCATTGATTAAGGGCCCAGCACTGCACCTGCCAGTCTGAAGACAAATTTTAGAATCACAGAATGCTGAACTGGAAGGAAACCTTGGAGAGCGTCTGGTCCAAACCCTGGGATCAATTAGAGCATTGTGTTGCAAGCAACAGAAACTGACAGAGGCTGAACTGGACAGGAAAGGAATTTATTAAAAGGATAGTGGGAGGGCTGGAGAACCAGGCCTGCAGCGCTGCTTCCAGGAACAGAGCCCAGCATCGCGGCCAGGTGTGAAAAAGTCTGCGCCTCTCACGGACACCGGGCTTCTCAGCTCTCACTGTGGCCGCTGCTGCCCCGGGACGTGGCCCTGCTTGCGAAGCTACCAGCCCGGGGAGGATTTCCTACTGTCCTTGCTTCCTTTGGATTCAGACTCTGGCCGGTGCACCTCTGACCAGGAGAGTCTTGGTCACCAGTTTCCACCTCGGCTACAAAAGAGGACAGGAAGCAAGTATATTTTGACAGTCTGCAGTGAGATGTGAGTTCTGCTTCTGACCAAGATTTCTGGGTGGGGGATTCTCCAAATGGAAAAAAGCATTCAATGGCAAAGGTCCGTCAACCCCTCCATTGCACAGCAGAGGCCACTGTGGTCTGGACGGATGGAGCGAATGGCCCAGGTCACATCACCAATTTCTAGCAGCTGGGACAAGAATCCAGGTCTCCTGGCTCCACGTCTCATATTCCTCCCTCTCACCTGTGTGTAAAAGAAGCCACTGGTCAAAAAGTTACAGACAGAGGCGAGCACACCACAGGAGCGAATGGCCAAGGATCCGTGTCCCTGGCCGCTGTTTTTAGGTAATAACTGTCTCTTAGACTTGATCACTGGTCTGTTTTTCAACATCTGCTCCTCACCATAGCCTAAGCTCAGACATCACCTGCCCCGTGAAAGCTCTCCGGAATCTCTAAGGCTTAACTCTGGGCTGCACCCACTGTTTTAAGTTGCAATTCTGAAAACACTGCCTCCTCCAGCTGGAGCAACTGGAGGTTCAGAAGTGACCCAGGACGTGTTGGCGAGGAGGGGCTGTTGTGAACGTGCATTGGATTCCCTGCAGGGCAGTCACCTTTATGGTAATCTGCCCGCCCCCGTAATACTTCCTGGGTCAGTGCTATACCTGCCATTCATCTCTTGTTTCCAAGGGGCCTCAAATCACCTTCTCCAAGTGTCCTATAAAGGACCCCAGTGATGCGGCACAAAACACAAACCCCTGATGCTGGCAATGGAGGTGGCCTCGCAAAGTCTCCGTCTGGTCTCTTCCTGGTGGGGGGTGGTAGAGAACCAGAGCTGGCAGAGCTGGCAAAGCAGGTGTGTGAGGTCAGGTGGCCTAAGCTGGGCAGCCCCTGATGAGACGGAAGGTAGGGGCAGGTGCCTGATGGTGGGGATCAGCTCTGGGCATCCAGGCCCCGTGGAAACAGCAGGAACCGGCCTGCAGAGGTGCTGAGTCTGCAAGACAGATGTCACCGGAACGAGATGAGGGCTCCCCACGGAGCGATGTGGCCTTCCCATCACCTTGAAATGAAAATACTCTAACATCGGTTTGAAAACATTCTCAAGAAAGGTTTTTCATGAAAAGAATCTCAAGGATGCCGGTCGTCCCCAACATTGCCAAGGTGCTGAAGCAGGACTAGAAACCATCCATGTTCAGGCTTCTAATAAAAGAAAGGAGAATCTATTTGATTAAGCCACTGAAGTCAGATTTCTGTAATTTACAGGCAGCCAAGAGCATTCCTAACTGATATACATACACGTTCATTGTCAAAAACAGAGAAGCACAAAGATGAAAAATCACCTGTCACCCAACCACTGTTGTTTTGTTGCACATGACTCAGTTTCTTGTTCTGAATAAGAATAAACTCCATTCTTCAATTTTACAAAATGAGATCTCTTAATTATAGTTTTCCATAATTATTTAACCATGTATTTTATGAGCACTTTAAAACCTTGCCATCAAAAGCTGTTTCACAGCAGAAAAGGGAACCCTCCTACCCTGCTGGTGGGAATGCAGTTTGGTGCAGCCACTGTGAAAAACGGTATGGAGATTCCTCAAGAGACTAGGAATAGACTTACCATGTGACCCAGAAATCCCACTCCTGGGAATTTGTCCTGAAGGAACCCTACTTCAAAACGACACCTGCACCCCAGTGTTCACAACAGCACTATGTACAGTAGCCAAGACATGGAAACAGCCTAAATGTCCATCAACAGATGACTGGATAAAGAAGATGTGGCATATTTATACAATGGAATATTATTCAACCATAAAAACCGACAACATAACGGCATTTGCAGCAACATGGTTATTCCTAGAGAATGTCATTCTAAGCAAAGTAAGCCAGAAAGAGAAAGAAAAATACCATATGAGATCGCTCATATGTGGAATCTAAAAAAAAAAC